TACTCTAATCTGATGACCTCAAGTGGCCCCAGACCTCAGCTCCCATTTTGCCCAATTAGGATAGCGCTTGATATTGTAGTTCCAGCAGTTGAAAGGCACAGGTGTGTGTGTGTGTGTGTGTGTGTGTGTGTGTGTGTGTGTGTGCGAGCAAAGGTACAAAACTTGGAGGACCTACAGAGGCTCAATTAAAATGGGATTAAAGAGAAAGGAATTTCTGCATTTTGGACCAGCGTTCCTTATCTCCACTGCATTTTAAAAGGACCCCTTTCTCTCTTTGCTCGTCCGCAAACTACAATTTGCACGCCGAGCCATTTAAAATATTTAAATATATTATGGAAAGGTGTTCAATTATTTAGAAGATCATTAAAATGTGCGGTGGAAAAGGGATGCCAAGCCAGGCGAATGCTCGCAGGGAGAAAAGGAACCGCACAACGCTCTCTTCCTATTCATTATGAGGGATACTCCCAGCGTGAGCATATCAACAACTCCGACATCCTCTGACTTCCCGGGACTTTCTGGCTGATTAATGGTTGAATGTGAGAAGCAGCTGCCTGGGGGTGGGGTGGGTGGGGAGCAGAGGGTCAAGGCAAGGCCACGGCTCATTCAGAGGTGCCTTGAGGCCCAGGAATGCTTGTTAAACAAAACAGATCGATTTATGGAAAGGCAAAATACCTGACACCCATCAATAGAAAGTCTTTGCACCTCTCCTGGGTGGTAGTGGTGGCGGGGGCCAAGCGGGGGGGGAGAAGGTGTCCTTGTAGGATCTCCAGCGCTATACAAATGTTTGTTTGGATTTTATACTTGCATCTGATAGAGGTGAACGTTTGTAAGTTGGGGTTGAAATGAGGAGTCCTTGGTGCTCTCTGAGTTTTTTGGGGGGGTTTCTTCCTTCCAGATGTTTCATAACCCAACTAGGGAACGTCATCAGTGCTAGAAGGGACTGAGGTTTGGGGGTGGAAGAAGAGGAGAACTGTGGGGTCCTTGGTGCTCTCTGAGTTTTTTGGGGGGGTTTCTTCCTTCCAGATGTTTCATAACCCAACTAGGGAACGTCATCAGTGCTAGAAGGGACTGAGGTTTGGGGGTGGAAGAAGAGGAGAACTGTGGGGTCCTTGGTGCTCTCTGAGCTTGGTGGTTTTCTTGTAAAAGTTTCATGACACAAACAGGAAAGATCAGTGGTAGAAGAAACTGAGGTTTGGGGCAAGGAGGAGGAGGAGAAAGAAAAGGACTGTGGGGTCCTTGGTGCTCTCTGAGCTTGGTGTTTTTTTCCCCAAACATTTCACGATCCAATTAGGGAACATCATCAGTGCTAGAAAGGACTGAAGCTGGGATGGGGAGGGAGAGGAGGACTGTGGGGTCCTTGGTGCTCTCTGACTGGTCGTTTTCTTGCAGACGTTTCAGGACCCAGCTAGGTAACATCATCAGTGCACCATCATATTTGTCACCTTTGAAATAAGGCAGCTTTATAAGACTACCAAGATCCAGTTTACCTATCGCACAAAATCAGGATTTGTGGAATGACCAAGTCACAATAGCTGAACCGTCCAGCAGCATTGAGCTTCTGAACCGAGCAAAACATGTTGCGATTTAGCACAGGTTTAAGGCTGGATATTATATGATGCTGGGTATTATATGATATACCTAAACCATGGATTGCTTTGTTTATGGTTCATCAAGCAGGCCACCGTGGCTGCCTCCATACAACACACCAAGCCAATACTAAGCAAGACACATTGTGATTCAGTACACTGGGCTAGAGCTGGGTTCACACACCATGTTTCACCGTAAGTCAGGAAATACAGACTGTTTTGATAGAAGGACCTTATGATTTAGCCCTTTGTGTGAACCAGGACAAACTAAAGGCTGTATACTCTTGTTGTTCGTTCCAAAGTCGTGTCCAACCCATCGCAACCCCGTGGACGACGTTCCTCCAGGCCTTCCTGTCCTCTACCATCCTCTGGAGTCCATCGAAGCTCACGCCGACTGCTTTGGTGACTCCATCCAGCCACCTGATTCTCTGCTTTCCCCTTCTTCTTTTGCCCTCCATCTTTCCCAGCGTTAGGCTCTTCTCCAGTGAGTCCTTCCTTCTCATTAGGTGATCTGGCCTTCTAAAGAGCAGTCAGGGTTGATCTCCCCTAGGACTGACCGGTTTGATCGCCTTGCAGCCCAAGGGACTCGCAGGGGAAGTTCTTATCACAGTCAGCGATGAACAAAAGTTGGTGATTCCAGCTTTTCAGTTTTTTTCTCCCTTTTTCTTAGTTTTGAAATCTGGATTTCTTTAAATAAACCTCCATTTGAAGCAGCAATCTTATTGATGACCCAGATTTATCCAATAAATTCCCTGAATTGGATTTAACGGCGCCCAACATATTTGCTCGCTGGCCAACATGAAAATATAATCTCATCCTATTTTCTGAGAGGCTTATTGCAATGAAATTGAATTGCAACATCCATTTCGCCACTGGTGAATAATAAAACGCTTTTATGAGGCTTATTTCTGAAGCCGGGGCGTGACACAGGTAACAAGATGCTAAGGGCTGCCTTGAATATCACCTTGAGAAGGGGAGGAAGTCTTCTGAAGCCTGGGGGGTGTCTGCCCAATACAGCTAAAGGCTGGCAGTCAACACATTTGAAAGACCCCAACTCTACGAACAGTCTGCGGAGATCCCTCGACCCCCTTTCAGCATGATGATTAGAACCCATAATATCCACTGGGGATACGAAATATTTCTGCTTTGGAAATCGACTTGGTTGTGTTTACATATTCCATCTCATCTCTCTCAATGGGCAACCTTGCCTTTGATGCTTCAAAGGCCTCTAAAAGCTTTAATTGCATGTGTGAAAGAAAACGTCAGCTGCTTTGCTAGGTAATGAGGTTAATATATACATCCTCAGCCTCTCTTACTCTCAAAGGCTGTTTGGGAGCTGGGTGGGTGGGAGACATCCTTTTAACATGGCAGAGTTGCCTGCAACGGGTAGCTCCATTTATTTATTGCTTACACACACACTATCCCCGTGATGGGAAACGTATGGCACCTGTGCCACAGGTGGCATGTGGAGCCCTCTCTGTGGGCATGTGAGCCATTGCCCCAGCTCAGCTCCACTGCACGCCTCCTGATGGCCAGCTGATTTTCAGGTCTCTGCCACGCATGCGCGAGGGGCGGGCTGCATGTGTGGTGGTGGTGGGGTTACGCACACATCTGCAGGGGGTGAAGAGAGCACAGGGGAGCCAGCGCTATCAAAAGATGTCTCGGTGCTCATGTGGCCGGCCTGACTAGATGCCGAAGGCGCATGGAACTCTGTTCCCTTTCCACCAAAGGTGTTCCCTATTTTTCTACTTGCATTTTTACGTGTTTTCAGACTGCTAG